TCAGGAGTGCGCCTGGAACTTCAATTGTGGGCTGTAAGATGTAGACGGAATCATATTCCAACAAATATAAAATGTCGGATAAGGATAAGTTCTGTAAATAGCTACTAAAATCAACTTCGATTAATCTGATAATTACTCAGAAATTTCCTGTGATAACAATTACTTGCTTATCAAAGTTAAATAAGAGATAAAACCATCATTAAACATGAATATATATGACGTTTGCTTGTCTTTCAACTTTTGAGAAATTCATAGATTCTGCTTTAGCACTTATTCTCTTATATTTACCATAGTATGGCATTGCTTCTATATAACCCTACCAAATGCAGTTGGCATCCTTTAGGCTATGAATGCCATCGACCGAATACTTGCTGACGTCATCATGATTATGACGTCATAATTGTAGCGTTGGTTACCACTAGCCCTCCCTTGAAAACGGGTGTTTTATTCGATCTTTATACAACAAATATAAACGATACTAGCCCGAGTTTCCTCTGGCCATGACACCAGACTTAGACATGTCTGGTGTGAAATCTGTCTCTCAAAATGTCTTAAGTCTGGTTTCAGGGCCAGAGGAAACTCGGGCTAATACGATACATACACTAATTTTAACTAAATGCTGGATTTGGGAAAAATAATTTGATTATCTAAGAGATGGAAATATTTCGAAAATGGTAAATATAAGTATTGAACTGCTTTCAACTGAAATCAGTTCAATAATTAATTTGCCCTACATCAACTGGACATTATTAGCAAATCACAATTTCATTATCTTAATGCTATACAGTATAAATTTACGATACTGACTAGCACGTAGGCTGCACATATTTTTTTCTTTCATTTGAAGTTTTTTTCGTGTAAGAAAACAAATATTTCTCTTTTGAATCTCATTCAGAAAAATGTCTACCATAACATTTTTTTTTAATCATTTTAAAGTTGTCAAACCCACTTTTCAATTGGATCTCAGATCGACGTTCCCCGCGTAAATGACATTAAAGAAATCATTCAAGTTTGTACCTGGTGTTTTAACATTTATTATCATTATGATACGAAATTTAAGGTAAAGGGAATAATCTAGTTAAACTATAATAATATCATTTTAACCATTGTAAAATTGTTTAAACCCTTTTCGTAAGAAGTGTTCCAAATGCATTTTACAGAATTGCAGTTGTTCAAAATTTAAACGTTTAAAAATGAAAAATAAAATATTAAACAAAAAAACAGCAGGAGTCGAAGTCCGGATCTTTATATTACAAAGCCTACGCTTGATCATCTTTACAATTTAGGAATAACAACTCCAAAAAAAATCTTTACAATTTAGGAATAACAACTCCAAAAAAAAAAAATGTCGAATTTATGGGCTGCAACCCCCCCCCCAGTTCAAAAACATATTTTATTGTACAAAGATACAAATGGATTGGACAACAAGTCATTTCGCAAAACCCCGGCATGAACAATTTTGTGTGCATCAATCAACAATTTCCCGTTTAGTTATGCTTCAGAAACGTAACATATTTATGTGGATTTAGTCACTATGATCTCAAATAAAACGTGTCAATAACAAATCATTGAGTTACGGAATATGAGCATACACAGACAAACCTAAGCCTCATTCATTACGTAAAAAAAAAAGACCAACCCCGCCAAATTGGGTTACCCGATTAGCATTTTTGGATTAAGCCCCAGATTTGATAAGCAATATAAAATTTTGGCCCATCACAAGTTTTCTTCGGGCTATGGTATATGGTATTTGTAACGGAGATACAACTTTTATTTGTCATGTTACAAAAATTGTATAGTTAGTTTTCTAACACATTATATCGATGTCGTGTCAAAACTGGAAGTAAAAAGGTCTGTTTCATATTTCGACAAATTTGCACCTTAAATGTTCGGGTGAAATAACACAGAGTGTGCGTGTGGGTATATATGCCTGTCGCTTGTTACTTTGTATTTTGTATTCATGAAAAAACGCCATTTAAGTCCGATTTTATCGCTAGTTTTCATAATTAATTTCTATATAAGTCAAACACAGTGCTGTGTGTATAATCTTGTGGGGTTTTTTTTGGAACTGTCCTCTTACGGGGTCCACGCGATGTCTTGCAGCTAAAGCGGTCCGATGATTTAAACACTCTAAATAGGACTACCCGTTGATTTCATATAACAACCGTAAGCTTGAAGCATGTAAAAGTTTAACGTGGCGTGTGTTCATTATATAACATATAAGGGGGAGAATCTCGAACGTTCCTATATGTGTGCTGGTTGGTTTTCATGTTTATATAGCTGGGTATTTGTATAAGTCACGAGGTTTACCGAATGTATTTTAAAATTTATATATAAAGATTGCGTATTTATTTCACAAATATTACGAATTTTTTTTCAAAACTTATACTAATCACTCTTTCTTGTTGGCCGGTATGGATGCGCGAGGTGCCATAATATGTTTTATGGGAGAGAGAAAAAAAAGGAAAATTAAAAAATGAGAGTTAGATAAACGTGATAACAAGCCGTCGAAATTCGGGGACATTTTCGTCCATATTGTTCATATCATATCTATAAGGCCTTCTTGTTTCCGATCGGGAAAAAATATTGTATAAAGAAATTGTGACGTTACAATGGAAGATGCCAGCGCAAATCATTGCAACGTGACGTCAGAATTAAAAACACATTGACAAACACTATCCACATGTTCAAAAGTTGCCACCATCATTGTCGATGAGTGGATATGATGACACAGTTGATGGACCCTAAACTCTCTGTTCATGCCGTCCCCATAGGACTGGCCAATACAATTCCGTCCAGGGTGTTACCCAAAAGTGGGTAGAGCACAGAGCGGCTTATCCAACAAAATGAGTGTGGAAACGTCATTCATGACGTCATTTCATCTTTATTTTAACACCACGTCGACCAGTTACTCACACTTTTAAATATAAAAAAAAGGTATGTGATGGTGTTTTTTGTACACAGGAGTGATGATAGCAAGGAGCTAGGTCATATAGAAAAAAAGGTGATGGTTATATAAATGTCATTATCAATTCTCTTGACAAATAGAATCTTCCCCTACCTTGAGAGTGTGACAAAGAAATATCTAATCCGAGGGTGGATATTCTTGATTGTCTTACCCGATGATCTGCCGAGGTAACACTTTCGAGAACATCATGCCGAGGGTTGGAGATTTCGCTGTCACTATCTCAAGGTAGGTGATGATTGTTTTTCTCCCATCCGGTTTCACTTACAAATCCGCCAACAAGCGGTGATTGCATGAAATATAAGCGTTTATTGCATATTTTTCCAGATAATTCATAGTTGTTTTCTATGGTCAGCAACTGTTGACGTAACGTCAATGCATTGATGACGTGACGTCATACAAGTGTTACGACTTAGATCGCGCCGTTCTGCACGAGGCTATATCTCCCCCCAGGGAGTGACAAGCTGAACACATGTGAAAGGTTGGAGGAAATAGTATCACTTCAGAGAGTAGTTTACACATGTACTTGAAAACTAATTTGCAAAAATGGATTTATCTGATGTTCAATAATCATTGTGACGTCATGCCGCGTGATATTTTATGTCATACTATTAAAAAAAAAATAACAACAACACCCACCCAATTGGAAATTGCATTATATTTATATTTTGTAAAGCATTATGGAATTGGCGTTTATAAGTTGCAATAACTTGTGTCCAATCCTTTTGCAATTATATTGCAATAAAATATGTTTAACTAAAAACACCCACACACATTAAAAAATAAATGAATAAATAAATAGGAATAAAATAAACTTAGCAAAAACAGATAATCACAAAATTTGTTTGAAAATTTCCCATGATAAGTCATGCTTTTTTATCAATAATTTGAAATAAGAAGTGTTATATTAAGGCGATATGCACTTTTCCGGTGTCTGACAATAATTGACATCCCCCGTTAGCTAGGTCAGCAACCTATTAATTAGGATATACGTCTCGTAAAACTCGAAAGTCTGGCAAAACTTGAGAACAAATACATTGATCAGCCTCTAGATCTGTTTCTCCTGGCAGGTAGGTTCTGCGGTCTAGTGCTATCACTGCGCCAATATTTTGGTTCGAATTATATATTTTTCATTTTTATTTTTCAAGTTAATTTTTCATTGGTTTATTTCGAAAACCATTCTTGAGTGATATTAGAAAATAATAAAAAAAACACCACAGAAATATTTTTTATTTGTTTGTAAGTAACTATATTTTTCATTCCTGGAAAATTAAGTCATATGCCTAAATAATATATTATGTTCTTAGTTAATTTGTGTTATTATATCACAGACGTTTCTACATTGTACTAATGGCATTATGTCTCTGGTGAAATGTAACTTTTTTTTGTAAAAAATCAAGTGTCTTATTCTATTCCAATTAATTATTTCTCCTTCAAAAATTAGTAAAATTATTTTTCCGGTTTTATGTGTAGTTCAAATAGGTTAACATATACAAGTGCCTGGTAAGTTTAATTTGTTCGTCGATGAATTCTGTCCCCTGTGTATTTATTACTTTACGACCTGTGTTCGTGCATAGATAAACTATATCACACATCAGCTGATACTAAATGTGGACATTACTGTTCGTCCGCAAGTTTTAAAAATTTTGATACGCGATACGTTAAAAACAAAACAATAACAATCATTGTTTTGAAACATTCAATCAATCAGCTAGAGTTCCTAGTTCGAATTTTTAATATCAGAGTAATTGGACGGTATACATTCTGTACAGTAACGATACAGCTAAATAGTGTCAGAAGGTGCAACTTTAAATGATTTTTACGGTCGGTGTATGCATTAAGTATCATTTTAATGGTTGAAATACAAAATTACTAGTATTATGAGATAAAATCTAACTACAAAATAAACCCACAAACACAGAAAATGAGAGAAATTCTGGAAAATGTAAACAGCAGGCTCGTGCATTATCATAATGTGAAAATGACGTCATCACAGACGCCTGCGTATAACCATTTCCCATAATTCTCCATTGATAACTTTGGTCGGCCATGTTGACATCTTCGTAGGAAAATTGCCGATCCATGGGTTAATTAACAGATCCAATACGGGAAGTGGAAACTTTATTTCACTATGTTATGACATTGAAACAACTCAGAAATAATCGGTCTGTGCAACTAAATACTTGGATTCGAGCTGGAAACAAACCGTAGTGCAAAAGAGCATTGACATTGTGAAGGAAGTAGATGAAAATCGCATTTTTGGTTGGTTTCCTTTGGAATCCGTGATACATTGTGGTAAAATTAGGGTTGGTGCCCTTCCGCTTCTAAGTACAGTTAAAGCTCTCAGTATTGATTTTGGTCGGTGAACATTTCACAAAGATGAGGAAACGACAAGGGAGGAGGTAGCAGACGACTGACTAATGTGTTGGTTTGTGAGTCAGTCATGATGTCTGCCGAGGAGAGATTGAAGAGGCTCGGACAGCTGTATGTTGGAGGGGTGCAACAGAGCAATGGCCAAGCCCTCAGCCTTGAGAGTCTCCTCGATGTTCTTATTGTTCTCTACGATGAGTGCTGCAGTTCCACACTCCGACGAGAGAAGAATATATCGGAGTTTGTCGATTTCGGTGAGTATATAGACAAGTGCCCGTGGCTACAAATTGCAAATACACATACCCAATACACAACAGAAGAAAATATGCAGTCAGTCACAAAACTTGTGTCAAATATTGCTCATTTTCTGTACTTTTCTTGCATGTTCCTTAAACTGTTCAGTGCTTGTGTAATTTCAATGCCAATACAGGAGTTTTGTGTGTCGAAAACTATTGCACATAATGTCTGTAGCCTTAATTTTCACATTTGACAGGTGACCTGGTTTGGTAAACCTACCATACTACAATATCATGTTCAGTCTGATAAGATCTTTGTATTGGAATTGATGTTACAAGTCAAACTTCTATTTTATATCTGTATTATTTTGCCTATTTTTTGTGGATACATAAAAAGTATGGTATGTAATATCGGATATATGCTTCCATGTATATATTTGTCTGTGTGACTCCACAAACATAGCTAACATGTCATCCTAATTAAGTTTTTGACCTGAAAAAAATAAGTAAGAATGATTTATTATAATATTAAAATAATCATGACATGAAATATATGCATTCACAGCAAGTGTGCATCTACTACCCCTTCATGGAAATTTTGCAACATGCCAGTGTATGTTTTAGACCTGAACTACTAATTTAACTACAGACATGTATACATATTATTCTCTTAGGGGAATGGGCCAGGTGAGTGCAGGTGACCAGAGAGCTCAATTGGTCAGAGAATTTGTCTTAAGAGTAAGGAGGTCCCTGGTTCAAATTCTGGTCTTGCCCCTGTTGTGCATTTTCCCCTCTCCTGTTTCAGCTGTCAATCCTTTTTTCAAGTACAGTCAAACCTGTCTCAACGACCACCTGTATTCAGTGACTTCCTGTCTTACACGACCTAAATTATAACCCCCAATGATATTTACTATATAACTGACCTGTATTCAACGACTCCCTGTCTAACGCGACTAACGACCATAACATTTCACACCTAGAGTGTAAAAAAAAACTCTCGTGACTATGCGACTATTCCGATATTGAAAACAAAACCGGAAGTTGTAAAATGATACAACGACATGGACATGCATTTTGAGTGTTCTATTCCGTATTAAAATATACTATGTTTCTGTGGCATACATATGGGATAAATATTATATGAACCATGAGTAGACATCGTTGTCATGAACTGTGAACCACTAAAGTGAGTTTTTCAAGCCAAATTTGTTCCGCCCAGATTTCGTGCGGAATCTGCATCAAAGAATTAGTGCTTCGGAAATAAAAGGTTGCAGTCGGCAAATTCATATCCAATAGAAAAAAGACCGACCAGCGGCCTCTTATGTTATAGGAGTATACAAAAACGTCAACGCTATCTTACCGACAATGAAGAAATTAACAAATTATGTTATAAATGGTTTAAGGGGTGCAGTTAGAAAAAAAACTATTTAATGAATTATTAATATATGTTTATAAATGTCATTGTTTTATCACGTAAATATTTCACAAATAAATATCATAAATCATTAAACACACAGTTTATATCTTTCTTTAAAAAATTTGATCCTGTCTTATGTGACCTTATCTTGAACTTCCTTCGGAACGTCACATAAGACAGGTTTGACTGTACTGTGTGTGCACTCGTCAAGGGAATACCCAAATCTGGGTTGTAAATACAGTGTTAGCACTGTGTGTCATAAATTGTGTCCTTTTCAAATTAACCAGGTTCCTTGTAATAAGTTCAAACAGAATTATTAAAAAAAAAAAGTAGGATCCTTTTGAAATACTATGCTTCCTTATGATATTGGACTTCTTCTAATAGCGTGTCAAAGACTTTGGGGAAAAGGAAGGATGTGCAGGTGGTGTATAAGATTTCAAGATTTTTTATTGACACTCAGACACATAATAGAAGGATATTGGGCAAGGTGGATGACTGTGACCAGGTACAGCCCAATTGGTGAGACTGAGAGTGTCCGTCTATATAGCTAGAGTTTGTAAGTCTCGGGTTGAGAACCCAGTCTGGCCTTGTTTCATTTTCCCTATCCTGTTACAATTCTATACCAACTGTATGTACTTTCCATTCTTGTGTCTGTTATAGAATCATATAATCAATCAGTTAGCTAAAGCATTGATATAATTATTTACAAATTGTCATAATCTGAAAATGAAAAAATATCAGAGCAAATAGTTTTCATTTTTTGTCTATGCTGCAAATTATAACATGGCACAAGCTGAATATAACAAAACGATCATTCTTCTTTACAATCCCTGTCCCACTGCACTGTGGTTTTTCCTACATACAGTAACCTCCCTTCCAAAATGCTGAGAAAACATTATTAAGACTTCTGAAATGGTTAAATGTCAAGGGTCACCTGAAACCCATGCCATGATATGGTAATATCTAAACTTGGGTTTGCAGTATCTAGCATAACTAAACATGAACAAGTACCCACAATTGAGTTGTCTCCATCTGAGATTTTCCAGCACAGCACAGGTTAGAAGAAATGCCACACTAAACTGTTTTGTTAGATAGTTGGACCAGTCTGAAACTTTGCAAATTCTCACTTGGGCTTGGTAAAATAGTACCCCCATATCGTACCGTCTGTACAGTTGCTGTACCGAAACCACGTTGAACAAAAAGAAAAATACTGCGGTACAGCTACACTGCAGTTTACTGTTCAACAGTACCCCTAAAATTTAGCATTGGACTAACATTGTAGTGACTTCCTGAGTCTTCTGCAGCACACAAACAAATACAACTAAAGCAAATCAAAGAACATGAACATGAGACCATATAAAGTGGTAGGAAATACAAGATTCACATTACGACAATGCCGCCTCGAATGAGTTGCAGTTCAAATACGATTCACGCCAACATAATGCCACTTCAAATGAGTTGCAATTGAAACTGAAGTTCTGAGCCATTAACCCTTTCACCACTGTAGATTATAATGGACTCATCCAGACAAAAGTATGGTACTGGTAGAGTCTTTAAAGTTACCTAGGGGTGAAAGGGTTAAAATCTTGAAGAAAATGTTCTTTTGTGAACCGCATTGTTTAGTTACTTTAAATATTGTCATGATGAGTAACGAGTCAAATGTCTTGTATAGATATATTTATCATAAATTTGGGAAAATGTATTACAGCCCTGATTTTAATTTGAAGCTATTGGCGCCAGCCTATTTGAAACAATAAGTTTGACTAGAACGTGTTTTCATTCAAATGACAGGCATTTGCTTTTCAAAAATCCCTGCCTTTTATCACTCATCAGTTATAAGCTAGTATAAATAAGCAGTGTCTAAACATTTAGCCCGGAAGTTTTGACGGATTAGATAAATTAAAACTAAGAACTATGTGTAACATCTTAAGATTATTTAATTGAATTACAAAAATAGTTTAAACACATTTTTTCAGCCATTCCAACAAAATCTCAATGACGTTCCCCCCCCCCCGAGTTATTTACATCTCCTTCTAAATGGCCTGTATAAAAAGAGACCTTAGCCAGATACACATGTACAAGATGTATTCCATTAGCCTCAAGCATATGCTTGCTTTCTTTTATATGTGCTCTGAAATTTATTTTCTGGAAGTGTCACCATGTATAAATCAATGGGAACAGCTTTGATATTTACAGTGTACAACTGGATGCTGCCATAGAATGAAGTAAAGCAAGCTGTATAAAGTGTTATCCATGTACACTGTCCTATACTGACTGCCAAATCCAAAACATTGTAGACACACATTACATCTGCAGATTTTTCGGGATAATTTGGAATCGACACCTTTCACTGTGAAAAAAAGTGGCAGCTTGTATTATTTGCAAATCATTTTGTTTTTCCCAATCTCTTCAAAAGATTTATGGAGCATATTTCATGAATTTTGATAATCATAAGTTACGGAGGTATCTAAACAGTCGCGTAAAGTCAAGAGAGTTCCCAACCTGTTAAATTAGCGGTGCTTTTTTAAAATTGGCATTCAAATTTGAAAGGTATCCAGTTTGTTCAATAAAATGACCTTGACCCACTTTTAAGGTAACAAGAGTCAAATGTTCTGAAAACATCTTTGAAAGGATTCTGCAGAACTTTATGTACCTTTGGTCGAGTCATATTTGTCCTGTTGCATTTTGGAAAAGGAGGCTATTAATTAAATTCCAATAAATTACCTTGACCTACTTAACATGGTTTATAGTTCAGATGTGTCCTAATTTATAAACTAATAGTGACTTTAACAGAATTTGAAAGGCATGTCAAATGCATTACATATCATGTTACATCTGAACATTTGAATAACATTGAGTAGTACAGAATATTTTTAAGAAAAAAAAAATGTCACCGTCAGTCATTGAGTAATTATGAACATTATGTATTATTCTCCCAGCAAATATATGATCCATATTGGAAACAAGACAAGTAATAATTGGTATATTGGGTTGTGTACAATTTTCTTGCTATACAGTGACAAATAGCTAGAACAAATGGTTACAGGTATTACACTATTGATAATAAGATTAGTGTGTGGATCTGTGTAGCAGCATACCTTCAGGTGTACCCTGTGTATTAGGTGTTGTACAGACAGTATTGGTAACACTTGTGTGTGGTACTGTGTAGCAGCATACCTTCAGGTGGATCCTGTGTATTAGGTGATGTATTATTGTGTAGTCCTTGTACCTTATATATAGATAGTCTTGGTAACACTTGTGTGTGGTTCTGTGTAGCAGCATACCTTCAGGTGGATCCTGTGTATTAGGTGATGTATTATTGTGTAGTCCTTGTACCTTATATATAGATAGCATTGGTAACACTTGTGTGTGGTTCTGTGTAGCAGCATACCTTCAGGTGCATCCTGTGTATTAGGTGATGTATTATTGTGTAGTCCTTGTACCTTATATATAGATAGCATTGGTAACACTTGTGTGTGGAACTGTGTAGCAGCATACCTTCAGGTGTTCCCTGTGTATTAGGTGATGTATTATTGTGTAGTCCTTGTACCTTATATATAGATAGTCTTGGTAACACTTGTGTGTGGTTCTGTGTAGCAGC